ATACTGATAATATCCTATTTCTTGATGTAGCTCACAGGATGACAAACATTTTCTGTAAAGAGCCAGAGAGTAAATATTTCCAGGCTTTGTGGGCCATAAAGTCTCTGTCACAACTAATCAGCTCTGCTGCTATAGTGCAAAAGTAACTACAGATAATATGTAGAGGCCTGGAGACGAGATGGCAGAGTAGAAGGACTTGAGCTTACCTCCTCTCAGGAAGACACCAAAATCACAGCTAACTGCTGAACAACCATCAACAAAAAAGACACAGTACCACCAAAAAAGGTATTCTACACCCAAAGATAAAGAAGAAGCCACAACCAGACTGTAGGAGGGGCACTTTCATGATATAATCAAATCCCATACCTGCTGGGTGGGCGACCCACAAACTGGAAAATAATTATATCGCAGGGGTTCGCCCATAGGAGAGGGGGTTCTCCCATGTCAAGCTCCGCAGCCTAGGGGTCTGGCATCAGAAGGAGGAGCCCCGAGAGCATTTGACTTTGAAAGCCAGCAGGGCTTGAGTGAAGGAGCTCCACAGGAGTGGGGGAAACAGGGACTCCACTCTTGGAGGGTGCACACAATGTTTCACGTGCACTAAGACCCAGGGCAATGCAGTGACTCCATACGAGCCTGGGCCAGACCTACCTGCGGGTCTTGGAGGTTCTCCTGGGGAAGCGGGGGTCAGCTGTGGCTCACTTTGGGGGCAAGGACACTGGTGGCAGATGCTTTTTGGCACCTGAGACCTGGCCCCACCCAACAGCCTGCAGGCTCCAGTGCTGGGATGCCTCAGGCCAACCAACCAACCAGCAGGGTGGGAACACACACAGCCCCATCCATCAGCAGACAGGCTGCCTAAAGTCATCCTGAGCAAATCGGTCAGTGTGATACACCACATTGACAAACTGAAGAATAAAAACCATATGATCATCTCAGTAGATGCAGAAAAAGCTTTTGACAAAATTCAACACCCATTTATGATAAAAACTCCAAAAAGTGGGCATAGAGGCAACGTACCTCAATATTATAAAGGCCATATATGACAAACCCACAGCTAACATCATACTCAACAGTGAAGAGCTGAAAGCATTTCCTCTAAGATCAGGAACAAGACAAGGATGTCCACTCTCGCTACTTTTATTCAACATAGTTTTGGAAGTCCTAGACAATGGCAATCAGAGAAGAAAAAGAAATAAAAGGAATCCAAATTGGAAAAGAAGAAGTAAAACTATCACTGTTTGCAGATGACATGATACTATACATAGAAAATCCTAAAGATGCTTCCAGAATAGTACTAGACCTCATCAATGAATTTGGTAAGGTTGCAGGATACAAAGTTAATACACAGAAATCTGTTGCATTTCTATACACTAACAGTGATAGATCAGAAAGAGAAATTAAGGAAACAATCCCATTTATCATCACATCAAAAAGAATAAAATACCTAGGAATAAACCAACCTAAGGAGGCAAAAGACCTGTACTCTGAAAACTATAGGATGCTGATGAAAGAAAATGAAGATGACACAAACAGATGGAAAAATGATATACCATGTTCTTGGACTGGAAGAATCAATATTGTCAAAATGACTATACTATACAAGGCAACCTACAGATTCAATTCAATCCTTATTAAATTACCAGTGGCATTTTTCACAGAAGTAGAACAAAAATATTCTAAATGTGTATGGAAACACAAAAGACCCTGAACAGCCAAAGCAATCCTGAGAAAAGAAAATGGAGCTGGAGGATTCAGGCTCCCTGACTTACAGTAATGAAAATAAAAAACAAAAATAAACAAATGGGACCTAATTAAACTTAAAAGCTTTTGCACAGCACAGGAAACCATAAAGAAAATGAAAAGACAACCCTTAATGGGAGAAAATATTTGCAAACGAAGTGACCTACAAGGGATTAGTTGCCAAAATATACAAATAGCTCATGGAACTGAATAGCAAAACAAAAAACACAACCCAGTCCAAAAATGGGCAGAAGATCTAAATAGACATTTCTCCAAAGAAGACATACAGATGGCCAACAGGCACATGAAAAGACTCTCAACATCGCTATTTATTAGAGAAATGCAGATCAAAACTACAATGAGGAATCACCTCACACTGGTCAGAATGACTGTCATCAAATAGTCTACAAATAATAAATGCTGGAGAAGGTGTGGAGAGAAGGGAACCCTCCTACACAGTTGGTGGGAATGTAAATTGGTACAGCCACTATGGAGAACAGTACGGAGGTTCCTTAAAAAACTAAAAATAGAACTACCATACGACCCAGCAATCCTGGGCATATATCTGGAGAAAACCATAATTCAAAAAGATACATGCACCCCAATGTTCATTGCAGCACTATATACAATGGCCAAGACATGGAAGCAACCTAAATGTCCATCAACAGAGGAATTGATAAAGAAGATGTGGTACATATATACAATGGAATATTACTCGGCCATAAAAGAGAATGAAATAATGCCACCTGCAGCAACATGATGGACCCAGAGAATATTGTGCTTAGTGAAATAAGTCAGAGAAAGACAAGTGCTATATGATATCACAAGTGGAATCTAAAAACATGATACAAATGAACCTATTTCCTAAACAGAAAGAGACTCACAGACTTCAAAAACAAACTTATGGTTACCAAAGGGGAAAGGTGGGAAGGAGGGATAAATTAGGAGTTTGGGATTCACATATACACAGTACTATATATGAAATAGATAATCAACAAGGACCTACTGTATAGCACAGGGAACTCTACACAATATTCTGTAATAATCTATATGGGAAAAGAATCTGAAAAAGAATGGATATATGTATATGTATAACTGAACCACTTTGCTGTACACCCGAAACTAACATAACATTGTAAATCAACTGTAATATAAAATAAAAATTAAATTAAAAAACTATAGATAATGTGTAAATAAACGGGTATTGCTGTGTTTCAATAGAATGTTATTTACAAAGCCAGGCAGTGGACTGGCTTTGGGTCTGAGGGCAGTAGTGTGTTAACCCCTCACCTACACAGATTGGTTACATTTGTGCATAAATTGGTGAATATTTATTGATCTGTACACTTTTGATTTATATGCTTTTCTCACTATATATTCTACTTCAATGAATACATTTTAAAAATACAACAAAGCAGGAAAGTCATTAAGAAAATAACAAAAACAACAAGAGCAGAAGCAAGCAGTTAGGATTCACTGGTCTGCTTGTAATGCTGCTTCTGAGATGTGTTTCTTGCTGCAGAGATACTGGAGTATTTGGAGCACTACCAGTTCTTTTCATGCACTCTATATACCAACATTATTGTTCATTTCCTTCTTTATGGGAGGAGAATCCATTAAGAGACCTCCAAGTGCTTAGTTCACTTAATGAATTCCCTTTGTTAAGTGTTATTATTACTGCCCAAATTGATTTCTTCTCCAAGTTATATCATTCTGCCATTCTATAATTGAAACTCTAAAAACATTGGTAGGTACTTAGGACATAAGCGACCTAAGAAACATTAAGTATCAACTCTACTACTGCTTTAATTTTCAGATTTGCCCAGAAAGAACTTCTTTCAGAAGTAATGTATCTTGCCCATCCCTACCCCCACTTTCACCCCAATGTTACAGAGCTTAAACATAATTAGAAAAAAAGAGAAAAGCTATCCACACTCAGTGTATCTGCTAAGGGATTTTGTTAAGCTTTTCTCCCCTGGAAGATAAGAATAGAAAAATAGTAATAATGACAGGGATGACATATATCAAGTACATACTACGAGCCAGGCATTGTTCTAAGCCCTTTCCATGTGTTAATTTATTTAATCCACATAGAAGTGCTCTGAAGTGGTTACTTTTTCTATCCCCATTATAAAGAAGAGGAAAGTGAGACAAAGAGATTAAGTAATTGCCCAAGGTTTCACAGTTAATAAGTGAGGGGCTGGGATTTGAACTCAGGTAATCTGTTTCTAAAGCTCATGCTCTCAGATACATGCTAAAGTAAGTAGCTTGGATTTGATTATAGAGAAATCAGATTCCTTCAGTATAAGTGTAGCATAGCTTAAGCATTCCCAGCTTCCTGCCACCCCCTCAAGGGAAATGACTGTCCCCCGTCTACGCCCTACTGACTCATACTGCAGCATCTAGGCCACTTTATTGCACTTACCTTTTGTATCTCTGACTTTCCCTCACTGGGCACTCTTTCAGAGCTGGGACTGTGCCTGATTCCTATCTCTCTCCTATCTCTAGTGCCAAACATAATGTCTGCCTGGACATAACATGGCTCAAAAGATGTCTGCTGGATACAAACTACTATATATAAAATAGATAAACAACAAGGTCCTACTGTATGGCACAGGGAACTATATTAAATATCTTATAATAAACTATAATAGAAAGGAATATGAAAAAGAATGTTTATATTCTTTTATGTATATATGTATAACTGAATCACTTTGCCATACACCTGAAACTAACACCACATTGTAAATGAACTATACTTCAATAAAAAAAAAACATGTCTGCTGAATGAATGAATCAATCACACCATGAGTGATCGCTCCTTTTTCTTTGGTTCACCAAGTTTTCAGCTCATTTTTTTCTGGTGATTTATTACAAGGGACAGGACACAATGTCATGAAGAACGTGAAGTGACTTGGCACTATTTCTGTCAATAAAGCTTCTTAAAGCAAGAACACCCTTCCTCTGCATTTAGCTCAAGAATCCCCCCATACTGCTAGCCTCGACGATAACGGTGTATGTCTAGTTAAGTGTAGCTAGAATTTACATTTATAATTAATAGGATAAAACAGACAACAAGGTCCTACTCTATAGCACAGGGAACTATATTCAATATCCTACGATAAACCGTAATGGAAAAGAATATGAAAAGAATTATAACTGAGTCATTCTGCTGTACAGCAGAAATTAACACAACATTGTAAATTAACTATACTTCAATAAAATTTTTAAAAATCAGATAAAATAGGCTATTTTCATACTCATTTCTAAGTATTCGTCGAAAAGTCCGTAGGCATTCATCGGTTGAAGGTTGTAGTCCTTTTCCCACTGTGGGAAACTTATTTTCCTTTCAGGTCCATGCTCTTGTCGTACTTTCCTTCTAGTCCACCAATTCTGAATTAACCTGCACAACAAGATCAATTTATTTAAAAAAATATATATGTATATAGCTGTTCATAAGACTTAAGTAATAAGAAATAGAGTTAGAATATAGAACAATAGTTTAAAAAATTTAGGACACGCTGGCAAGGAAATGAAGCCTTGGATTAGAAGGGAAATAACAATGGAGGCTACACTTCAAGCATTCATACTTGCAAGTGAACAGAATGATTGATGAACTTATTTTAATCATTCATGAAACCGTCTCTCGTCCAGTGTTGCCTCGGAGGGTTGGGTAGAGGACTGAGAACATTGATAACCTGATCCCCCAGTACAAAGGCAACCCGCAGGCCTCTGAGAAGAAGATGGTTTGGCCTAGCTGGCTTAGTTGAGGACCCGTGAGCAGTCTTACCATGGGGTGCTGACCTGCATACTCTGACTCGAGGGCCCTAGAAGGTCTGAAAACCCACAAAGGTTTCCTCCTCTCCTGGCATACAGAAGCCCGCAGGTCCACAACTGGATCTGCCTGCTTTTGGGTTGAGTTTGACAGAGGCTCTGATTCCCAATAAAATGCATCTCACACTGGTGAGGTTAGTACATTAATCCTTGGCAGTGTTCAGAATGCATCTTACGATACGGAACAGGGTTGAAGAAATTGGGGTGTGTGGGGGGGTCAGGTTTGTGTGCTGTAGGGGGCAAGGAGAAAGCTGAGGGGTATCTGAGAGTAGTGATGCCAAAGCAAAAACAAATGTGAAATAAACTAAATAAGGGGATGGGTATCAAAGACAATTCTGTCTACTTCACAATTTTGCTCTATGTCCATATTAGTAGAAGATAAATATAGTTCCCTTTGATGTCTATGACATTTTGAGAAATTATGGATGATACTTTAAAAGAGAATATAATGCTTCTAATTTTAAAATTTTATGCTTTGTTTTTTTTAAGTTTTATAGAAAACATCAACACTTGGAAGAAGTTTTCTAAAAATAAATCTAAGAAGAGAAAATTACTGGCAGTGGTTCTGACGGGGAGCTAAGAGATGACTTTTCGAAGTGAACCGAGTTCCAGTTAATTGTTCTGGCTGAGTGGTCTTCCCTGAAACCTGGAATTCTCTATGGAGACACTTGAGCTGACCTGGAAACCTGTAGGCGTAGAATTAAAGAAGAAATAGAAGTGCTGCTGATTTATGTCCCTTTAAAACTTAACTGACCAGAACTGAGCAGACACAGCCAAATCCAAGGTCATCCTTACAAAGGTGATGCAGGTTTTTGCCCGTTGCCATCAACATAAACTGTTATCATCAGATAATGATGTTTTTACTGGTTAGGATAGGCTTACTTAGAAATACTCCAGTTTCTTTTTTGAATCATTTTTTTAGGTCTTCTTTCCATAAGTTCCTTTCCTGTACAGTTGAATTTAAGGAAGTTTAAAGAAATTACCATTTCTGATTTATTGCAGGGGTTGGGGAGTAAAGACCTCGTTAATGTGTCATCATCATATAAAGCAGCTTGGAAGCAGGTATCCAATTATTTAGGGGCCCACAGAGACTTCTTAAAGAATATTCACTTTTGTTTATGCGATTTGTGCTAAATCTTCCAAAAGAGCCAATGTTTATTATTTTCATGATTTGTCTTTGAATATCTAAGCATGAAGACTTAGCTCCAGGTACACACACGCACACGCACACGCACGCGCGCGCGCGGGCTTAACTGCTGAGTCTGCATTGCTTATCTTACTTGCCACCTAGAAAAGCCAATGAGACATGCTGCCTCTCAAGTATAGATATCTAAGGTACTTACGGGTAGCCAAGTTCCATGAAATTATTCCAGGTCTGCTTTAGCACCATTATAATACCCATTTGCATACAGAGATCAATAAGGCATCCACTAGGGTGGCACTGCGAGGTAAGCAAACACAGAAATTCAAGAATCAATGGTAGGAAGAAAGGCTGTCTGGTTTCTAATCTGCACAAAGTTGCCCTAAGCCTGTTTAACGCCAAGTCTGTAGGAAACAAGGAATGATGGGAGAATACAGACCTCTTCTAGTCTCCACCTGTTTATCAGCCTCAAGTAGGCACCTGGGTGTCCTGTGAATCTTCAACACACACAGAAAAACAAACCATTAGCATCCTGTAGCCTTCAGTGAATATTATATTCAGATTAGCACATCCTCCAGGGAAAATTACCGGTGCAGTAAGGAACAGGTCTCAGGGAATTAGGAAAACTCTCTGGAACTGGCATAATGGCAGCTTCTGGAATTCTCCGGGGGGTATTTCTCTCCTGGCCCTTCTGTCTGGCTCCTGAACACAGAGGCCAGTCCTTGATGCCTGCTGTGACTTTTAACATTTTCTGCTGAATATCAAGGGGCTGTGGTGTAAGCAGCAGGTTGGGTTTAAACACATCAGATCTTTTTGAATATTAGTAATGCCGTGTTTTTTATTTTTTAAAACGAAACTATTTGACTAGCATTCCATACTGAAGTAGCTGGAAACTGCGGACAGGCTGCTCATCCATTTCACTAAAACCCATACTCAGCTCTTCCCTGGTTCTCGTCTCCTCAGACACGCTTCCTGGTGTAATGAAGTTCATGGTACCTGGACGTTCCACATCCTCAGAACTGCTGGATTCAGAAGCTACCCAGTCTCCTTCGGCATCCTACGTCAGCCCCCTTTCCTGTCTGAATGTCCTTCCCTCCTCTGTGAGGTCAGGGATCTGGGACATGCTGCCTGCCGTCCTCCCCCTGATGCCACCTGCTCTTATAGGTGTGAGATCCAGAGGCCCGATTCAGGTACAGATGGAGCCTGCAAGTTTTACATTCACACTTCACGTGTGCAAACTATTTTCTTCTACTCACCTGAACAAGAAAAGGTACAAGGGACTTTGATGGAGACCATTCCCCAGAATGGGAAGGGAAAGGAAAGGAGGAGACTGTTCTCCTCTTTATACACTTTATAAAAATCACCCTAAAGGCTGGCCTCTCTGTCACCCTGGTCAGTGACCTCTGTGTGCTCTGTCCCTGGCCTGGGGAGGTGTGGAGAGAATGGGTTCTTACCTTCCGAGGAAGAATGCGATGTAAAACGTGGAGCTGTTCAGATTGACAAACTGAAAAAGAAACATTTTCAGGGTGAAGCTGTTCTCCCACTCGGACTCAGTGCGAGGCTGTTCTGTGGACACAAGGGGAGCAGAGTTTGAGAGGCTGCATCTGATTCCTTCTCAACTCCCTCTGTCCAGCTCCCCAGACGCACGGGGTGGGAGCAGAGGCTTCCTAACGAGGCTGCAGGAGAGCCCAGCTTGCCTACAGACGACATGCGACGGAATGGACCATCCATGGGTTCCTCAAGCTCCCAGACCAGCCCCAGCGAGGCTTTGGTGGGAAGTGACTACTAACTTGTCCGAGGGCAGGGAATATCGTTTGTTCCGCTGTTCCAGGATGCCCGGAGAGCCTGGAGTAGAGACAGCCAGGCTGAAGGGGCCGCACTCCCGGCCCTGGCTCCTTGCAGGAGCCTCTCCTTTTGCTCTTAGTTTCCACCTGTGGGGTGGGGCCTGTGTGGCATCAGGTCCCCTCCCATCTCCTAATAACTCCTTGGTCTCGACTTCTATTTCTGGTGTGATGTGAGGTGCTACTGGGAGAGAGGGAGTCAGACCCCCCATCTCAGAATGAGCATCTGACCCCGTTACCTGTCACCCTCATCCATCATCATTTTCATTCTCAAGGACAAGTACCGAAGAGGTGACCTCATCTTTAGAGCTTTTATTGTATAGCAGCATCTTTGTCTTACAATTTCCTGACCTCAGTCAGGCACCAATTTTCATCTTCTTGTATTTCAATTTCCATACAGCAAATGCTCTTTGGACATGGTGATGCAAACCAAAAATACGGATCAATCCTCCAACCTGAAATCTCATGTCAAATGTGCTTATCCTTCCCCGGAAGTTGCATCCTCACCTCAAACAACGTCAAAGAAAATGCATTTAATGCAATAGCACTTTCTATTTCCACATTCCCTGAGCTTCTAATTGCTCATTTACCATTTTACCCCATCAATTCCTTTCCCACAAGTTATAGCTCAAAATGCTTCCCAGGAGTATATCTGAGAAGGGAGGGGAGAAAGAATGAGAATCGGATTTCAAATGGTTTAAATGTCAATTTCAGAACAAGGCCATACTGCTGTTGAGGGAAGAAATGACAAAGGACGCTTCAAGGGCTTTAGCTTTACTTCACTTCTGCTAATGAACTCTTGGTTACACAGGAAGGTCTCCTAGCTCATCAGCCAGCTGGGTGGGTTCCCAGGTGGCCCAACCAAAGATTGACCATGGCTGATATCTCCACAGGCATCTTTTCCAGCCTGGAGCAAGGTCTCCCCTGGACACAGTCTATCAATGGGCAGTTACCTCTTCTGTGGACATAAACTTCTATATTTTTGGGCAAAGAGTGGCGGTGATGGAAGATTTCAGTGAATTCAAAGGAGATATGCCAAGTGCCTAGCTCTGTATCTGGCACATAGAAGGGCTCAAAAAGATGAGATGCCAGATGTATCTGGCATCTTTTATTATAATGATGATTATAAATGAAAACACTTTTGTGATTTTTTTCTCCCTTTGGCAAGCTACATATGGGAATGTGATAAAACAGGTTTTGTGTGGGAGCATGTAATTTTCTCAAACTGCATAGAGTAAAATGACTAATATCTCATTAATGAAATTGGGACAATTCCTCTATCTTGAAAATGTAGTAAATGTACAGCTCCTAGCTGGTTACCAGATTGTTCTGGTGCCTTAAAGAGTCAGAGAAACGTTCCTAGGGATGACTTGTCCAGATGAATGTCATTTCCACGGATGTCAGTAATGGTTAGCCTGTCTACATAAAAGACTCCCAGTCTTCAAAGCAACTAATTTTGCTGTGATTTTATATGCCATTAAAACTTGCTGTGTTTTTAATTAAATAAAAATTGTAGGCAACAGCAAATGAACACTTTTGTAAATGATTATAGGTACTTCATACACATGTACTTTTGTAAGAGAAAACCTACTTTAAATTATATTAGCTCATGAAAGATAATGTCTAAATGCTTTAAAGCTTTAGGTAGGAAAGATTCTCTCAATTCCTAGACATATCTAACATGTCCTGTTGAGGGCAAAGAACAAATTGTTGTAGGCAATTCAAAATAAAGGGAATATTTGTTTTCAGCAGTGTTTCAGAAGTGAATCTTTGAGAAGGTATTTTTCAGACCACAATACTGTACTGTGAAATAAAGAGGGTTCCACTTACCTAAGTTTGTCAGAAGCAGTGCAACTTTTTCATAGAGCTGTAAAATAAATTTAATACATTTAACAAACTGTAGATGTTCTAAAATCTGTAATTATGAAGTAAATAGGTAAGTCATAAATGAAAATAATTTCATTAACCATCCACTGTGCAAACAATGAAAACATCATCAACAATTGTGTCCTTTCAGGACAAGAAAGAATTGTACAAGGTCCCATTTTAATATTTTAAAAGTCTCACTTCTTGTTTTGGGGTGAATAATTCTGTAACAGCAGGCCAGCTGCCACTAATTATCAGCTTGCTAAGGGATACTGGGCAAGTCACAACATTCCTGGGTCTCCTCAATGTAAAATCTCTAAGACTGCTTCTGATAAGGGTCTGTAATCCTATTGTTTTTATGGGCTGATTTTCTAGATTATAGCATTCCTAAACATCAAAGTGATCAAACATTATTGGGAACTGCCAAACTTATGGTAATCTGCTTTTCTATTAGTGAATTAGATGCATCACTAACTCACCCAGCCATCTGGTAAATGGAGGGTCCTAATAGGATGGAAGGGGTGTGTGTCCCTGTGCTTGTGTGTGTGTATGGAAGTACAGGGGGTACAGTTAAGGGCAAATCCAGCTCTAGGAGATTCCCTAGGGAGGGTATAAATTGAAAAAGAAAAGAGCAAGTGCTTTCTCTAAAATGAAAGATGATAAATGAAAACGAAAAAGAAAACTAGTCAAATGGATTTGAACAATATGAAAATTAAGATCACATTTAGACTAAAGTTGTGAAATTTCACTGGTTAAAATTCCCCAGGCTGGAATAACAGCTTTACCAGCCAGCAAGCTATAGGTCTTGGGCATGTTACCTCACCTCTTCTTCAGACCATCGTTTTCCTTACATGTGGTTGAGAATGGGTATTGGACACACTCATCTTGAGGTCCTTCCTAACTTTTGCATTCTCTTACCCCAGATTTCTTCTAACTACAGAAATAGTCTAAATACTCAGATTGTATGACTCTAAACTTTCAGCAAAGACTGTGGTTTGTTATATTAAGATATAAATAATTCATACGGCCACAGTATCAAATTTTGTATATAGAAATCTCAGACTCTTGGAGTCCAATGTTAAAACAGACCGGTATAATTTTCAGTAAGAAATCTTGTGTTATAGATGAGTCATACATCTCAATTTTATCATAAAAATAAAATACTGGTAAACAACATATTAGGACAGATATTCTAATCAAAATTAATTTAATATTACAAAGGCATGGTATTATTAAAGTTACTTACATAATTATCAAGGAAAATTAAATTCAACTGGTGAGACAACCTTTCTCAAAAATATAATTTTTGATTACCTAGTTCATCCTTTAATCTTTCATGTTGAGGTACATTTGTTAAAGTGCCTCGCTTTGCACACTTGCCTCAAAGGCCTTGAGAGCTGGTGATATGCCATCGTTATTTTTGTTTGGAAACTGAAAAAATTGGAATTTAAAAAAGGAACAGCACAGGAGTTGAAATATAATTATTATTAACCTTTTGAAAAGTAAGGTAAAGTGTATGAGGACACTGGGATTCATGGCATCTGTGAACATTTTATCTGGATGATACAATGAGATGGAGAGTGAGACTTTGAGCAGGATGCAACAGAAAAGAGCACATAAACAAAGGGACTGGGAGCCAGCAAGAGAGCTTCACATGAGTGGTTTCTGGAAAAGGCCTGATTTCTCATTAGCCAGTTGAGACAGAAAGCACGGATAGTTTGTTCTGATAAGAGTAGTAGAAGATCTAAGTTTCCAAACTGGATGCCACAAATGGTTACTGTCAGAATCTTTAACTAACAGCAAGCTTTCTGATCCTAAGGATATGTCCAGAAGAAGCTATGAGCACTTCTAATTTTATCTTGTCCACCTGATCAATACATGTGGGTTTGTTCTGATGCAAGCCATATTTTCTGGTTTAGTTCTTTTGGAACAAGTCATTGTGGTTTTCACTGTTTACAGGTTATAATGAAATGTCAGATTCATTTTGGTATGGCTGAATAAAAAGGATGGTAATGACTTTTAACGTCTTCCTTTATTGGCATATATAGCTTGAGACCACTATATTGAGATGTTCTTTGGTCACTAGTGAAGCAGAATAATATTGAAAGAGCATGACAAGGAGGAGTGAGGAAATCTGTCTATTCACTCTGTCTTTGAAATATTTATTTTTCAAGACATGGAATAAAATGAAAACCCCGTAACTAGTCACTAAGAGGCATAATAGTTTGTTAGGATCCAGAATACTTTTGTAAAATAATATGAGCTTTATTTTTTTTTAAATACACATAAAAGTAAACACACATTGTCAAATCCAGAAAATAGGCATTCCTTATAGATCTTCTTCAGTTAGGGTTGGAAGAAAGTCAGAAATAGGGTATATGATCTATAATAATTATTTGAAAGAGGCTTTAATGAACATAAATTAAATACCAATCTAGCTCTCAAGATTTTTATATTCAGTTAATGAAAAAGTATTCATGATTAATGTCCAAATGATTTTTTTTTTGCAAGACCAGTATGGCAAAAATTTTAAATAATTGAAAACAATTTATATAGCTATAAAAACTATATTATTGAGTCATAAAAATGTCTTAAATTGGGTCATTTCAGCAGTCATTAATAGTTTAGTTCTGAACTGGTCAAAGCTATGTTATAGTCATTAGTCTGTCATTTGTCCTTTATTCAATATTTGCTTTTTAAGGACTTAAAATTTTTAAAAATATATTTTGATGAAGAGCTTTCCCAGCTATATTACACATTTGGTTGCCTTCATAATGGAACCTGCAAAGCTTCAGGGCATAAGACAGGAGTGTAAAGGTGTGTGCTGGATGAGGATGTCCTCAGAGATGGCCAATGAGGGTAAGGCAATTGGTCACTGCACAAAAGGGTCCTGGATGATGCTGGTTTTAGAGTGTGTATGCTTTTTATTTTCTTTCTTTCCCCTTGCTATGGCTTGTCATTTTCTGACCTTGTCAGTATTCTTGCCTTAGTAACCTTCTGTTATTTTAGTTTGATGTTGGCTGAGAAATCAGAACACCAAATGTGTTCACATTGTATCTAAAACTAAAGAAAGAAAAGAAAAGAAACCTTAAGGGCATTCCTAAGAATGACACATGTCAGCTTTAGTGTGTGGGCTTGGTCATCCATTTTGGTGACTCAGAAACCCTTTGTTAAATAAAACATGTAAAACGCCTACCTGTCTAGCTCCTGGCACACAGTAGGTGGTTTGTAGTGGCCCTAATTATATACTATTTCATCTCCCCTCCTGCTTTGTTTTTAGTTTATTTCTTCTTTTCTTGGCTGTGTTCCACTAAGCAGAGGTTTTTGGATAAGTGATTTTCAGTTAAATGAAGTGACAACACTGGCTCCTGGTCAAAATGTACCAGCAAGCATGTGTTTATAGAGCCACTGCATATATGCAGAAATTTATTTCTTAAGATGTATAAATTAAATTTTAATAAGACATTGGAGAAGAGAGATGATAAAATACAGTAAGCTTTAATTCACTGCATCCTACCTGGACGCAGAATCTTTCACTGCTCAGGCTGTTTGGTTAATTTCACTATGAATCACTCCCCTTCACAACGAATATTCATTCCACAATTAACTTTGAGACTAGCTGAACCGGGGACAGGGGGAGTGCAAGGGAGTGACAAACAGTCACTTTCAATCTCCACTTGACCAAGCAGTTACACAGTCATCATGTCAAAATGATCTGCAGGTGCTTTTTTTTCCCTACCTTCTGGATTTTTAAACTTTTTTTCTAAAATAATAAAGAAGTTCCTGTATCTTTAATAATAATAATAAATTACCTATATTTCATTATCTCAGTGATTTCAGCACAATGGCCCAGATTTAAGTTACAGTATAAATAAGGGTGAGGGGAACTATAATTGAACACTTACTCCATGCCTAACACTATACATGGCACTCTACATACGTTATTTATTCCCGCCTACAAACCTCAAGTCTAACAATGTCAGCCACTGCCTTTTGTTCTGCAAACAGTAACAACAATTTACTGAGAGCCTACTATAAGCCAGAGCCTGTTTCTGTTGCCAGAGTTTGGAAACTTAGATCTTCTACTACTCTTATCAGGAAAGACAAAAGTTTCTGCCCTCTTGGGGCTACATTCCAGTGGAGAAGATAAATAACAAAATAAATTTTAAAAACAGCCTATTAGATGGCGATTAACGCCATAGAACAAAATAAAGCAGGCGAGGAGCTAGGAAATGGTCAGACGGCAGGAGTGGGTTGCAATTTTAAATTGAGTGACGAGGGAAGCCTTATACTGGAAAAGTAACAGTTGAAAAAAGACCTGAAGGAGGTGCAGGAGTAAACTCTGCAGACCCCACGGGAAAGAATGTTCCGGGCAGAGAGAAGAGCAAGTCAAAAGTCCTAGGGTGAGAGCTTGCCTGGCACATTGAAGAGAAGAGGGAAGGCCAATGAGAAGCAGGAAAGTCAAGGTGAGGAGAGAGGAGACAAAGTCAGAGACCTCGCTGGGGCCAGATGAGGGAGACCCTGGGTCTCCATGTGAAGACAGAACTTTTATTCTGAGCGAGAGGAAAGCCACTGGGTACAGTGAACAGAGACTGACTTACATGGATGAAGCTTGCTTGCTCTAGCTGCTATGATGAGCCTGGATTGAGGGAAGCAGACGTGGAAGCTGGGAGACCAGCTCAGAAAGCACTGCAGTAATCCAGGTGGGATATGCTGGGGACCTGGACCAAGGTGGGGACTGGGGATGTGTGAAAAGTGCTCAAATTCTGGATACATTTCGATGCTGAGAGAAGCAGAGGAGTTTCAACCTAGGCGACTACAATGGGGGCTGCAGGAGGAGCTCATTCTGGAGGGAAGATGGGGAGTTGGGGGTTGTGTGTGTTCGGTGAGGATGTTTGGGGTTCAAGGGAGACAGCTGGGCTGAAATATACATTTGAAAAAAACCTGAAATCAACACAAGCTACAAGTACCACCCTGAAATACTCCTTGCTGGGTTATTGCAAGAAATGCTTTGGATACTAACTTCCCATCGTTCAGAAGCAAAAGGAAACAGGAACCAACACTACTGAGCTATGTCACAGAGTCTGAGCTGGGCCTTTAAAATATATTTTTTCTCTAAATTTCCCCAAGAGGTATACAGTGTTATCTTACTGGATAAATAAGGGAACTGAGGTTCAGAGAGGGTAAGTGCCTTGCCCAGTCTTACAATGTAGAAAATCCTGGAGGCCAGATTTGACTCAAGCCTTCTGTATCCCCAGATGAGTACACCTTATGCCAGGCACTTTGCAGCCAGGCCATAAGTGCCACATAACTGACCAGCCTCTCTAAGGCCAGGTCCCTTTAGAAACAGAAGAAGACTCACCTGTAGCACACACATTTTATCCATTTGACTAGTTACCTTGCAGCTCACTTACCACGTTCAGCAGCATGATGATGCAGAAATTGATGCACACGGCAGTCCCTGTGGTTGCAACCTGAGAATTATTCCTGATTAACGCCCACTTGAAGGCAGCGAAAGTGCTGACGGTCACCACCCTGTAAATGACGATCCCAAACACGGCGGCGATCACCACGCAGATCTGGCAGGAAGACAGAGGACACCCAGTGAGCACTGTGATGGAATGTTGGAGGAAGGGGCTCCCGCCATCTGGAAAATCCTCGGATGAGGAAACGAGATGAAACGGCAGTGGTCCTGACTCAAGACACCACAACAAAATGCACACTTTTCATGTGGTTGATGCTTTCTCTTGTCTGTTTGTACGTTCTTTGTTATCCAAATAGAAAAGCCACAGAACTTGAGAGCTGATAAACCGTTAGGCTATGGGGTAACACTTTTAAACAGAATATCAGATTGAGCAAATGAACAAATATTTATTGTGGAAATCTTATCGTGTCACTCTTCTGTTTAAAACTATTTATTGGCTTCCTTTTAGGATAAAAGCAAAGCCCTTATGGTGGCCTGGAAGAGTCTCTCCAGCCCCACTGAGTGTTCTTCCCCTCCCTCTGGAGACTCTAGACCTTTTCTTATTGTTTCCAATGGGCTAAGCAGCCTTAATCTTCAAGACCATTTCCTTTGCCCAAAATGCTGATCCACCCATTCCCCTGCCAAACACACACACACACACACACACACACACACACACACACACACACACACACACACACCCTCACGCAGTCTAGTTAATACCTAACTCATTCTTCACATCCCAGCTCAAGAACTACTTCATAATTAATGCTTTTCATGAACGCCCTCTCCTCCCCCCAGGCTTTTTTTTTTGTTATAGGGTACTCTTCTTTCAGTATACAACTTATAATTTCTAACAATTTGTTTGATTATTGCTAGTCTCTCCCACTTAGATGGTAAGCTCCATCTGGGTAAGGATGGTAACTGTCATTTCTGCAGCAACTTAGCATCATGCCAAGTGCTCAGTTATTTGTTGCTGAAGAAGCCTGTGAGAGGTGCATACTCTTATCTATCAGATATATACACAGACTGAACTGAGGCATCTTCCTCTGAACATTTCATGGTGTTTGAGAAGAATATGGTATATCTTCTCTCTCTATGAATAACGGGAATTTGAGATTCCAAAAAGTTTTGTGGCTTTCATTAGATGACTTGCTTACTATGTCTTTGAGCAGAGACCTTAGCTTACATAGTTGTCAAAAACTGGATCTTAAAGCTGGGCCTCAGGACAGCCTCTGCCAACTTAGAGATTCCTTTCTTTATAGAAGCTTTTTCTGTGTTTCTCACAGACTCTATTTCTGGCTTACTATGAGTCACATGCTCTAAAAGCTCAGGTATGAGCCCTAGCTGAACTGGCTAAAGTAGTAGTAATAATAATAGAAAACAAAGAAACAAAAATCGCCCGTGTCTGAATCCTGGAGCTGCTGATAGGGAGACAGGTGAGAACTACACTGAATTATAGACAAGGGTGGCAATGTGGTAGAATGGAAAGTTCACTGGACTCAGAGTCAGAAGTTAGGTCTGAGTCCTGGTTCAGCTATGAGCTAGCAGTGTGACCTTGGGCACATAGCTTGCTCTTTCCATGGCTTCTACCTCTATGATCTACCCCATCTGTAGAACAAGGAGAACTTAATTTACGTCCTTAGGTCTTGTCGTGAGAAACAAACCCCAAACAATAAATGTGGATGCACTTATAGAAGGCAAAGCCCGGCACAATTGCTATCAAAGCAGCATCTGTAGAAGGGCATGGATCTGAGTCTTGATCTGAGCCGAGGGACACTGGGCTCAGTTCCTTTCTGGCTACGGGGGGTAGACTGTCTGAATTTTCTATTGTCTTGTCCTTCCCAGTCTAACCAACTAGGATATATACTTACAAACACTTGCTATTTGAAAAGAGGAAAGGAGGATCTTCACCATCCTTTCCTGTCTAAAGTGACATTTCTGACATATTTGCATATGTTTTGTTCAGTAATTGACAGGGTCAAAGTTGATCATAAAACGACTTCTTTTTAGGAAAAGCTAACGATCCAGCTTCAAATTAGTGTTTTGCAAACTTGATTAATCATTAGTGAAATAAATGTTTGGGAGTTATAGCTGGCTACATACAGTCTATTAAAAAATAGACTGTAATAAAACAAAAAAAATCAAAGTTCCTTGCATATTGTAAAGATGAACATTGTTTCAATTACCATATTCGGTTTTACACATCTATTTGCGTAGTATATACTAGGTTATGACAACATTTGTATTTATTACTGTACGGGCATTGTAAAAAATGTTTGAAAAACACTGCTGTAGGTATTAATACTATCTCATAGTTTTAGTTCCTTTCATTATGACATAGAGAGACAAATGCAAAGAACAGCAGATTGGAGGATCTGAGCTCTTATCTATTTCTTGGCTAATCTGGGCAAGCCCTTTACCCTTCTGGAGTCTCAGCTGCTTCACCTGTAAAATGCAGACAGCAATGCCATCCCTGACCACCATGTAGAATGGTTGTGAGGACTAAATAACAGAACGTGCAAAAATATATCCAAACACTTGATATGATTATTGTTGTTACCATGCTACAGGTTTGTACTTTATGAAAGAAAGAGTTTTGTAAAAAAGTTTCAGACCATAAAGAATATTCCAGATGCAGAAACAATAAGTCGGCTGCATTTATCTGCAAATGCTTGATACGGTTCTGGTTTTCCCGAAATGGGATTCATCCGCTCTTTCTTGGAATACTTGGCTTCAAACTGGGGCCGTATTTCTTCCTAAAGAACAAGCAGACACATTTTTATGTACTGAAGAACTGTTCAGACAATAAGAAAAAAATCATTTTACCCCACAGGAAAACCGAGTCAACGAATGCCACAGTCAATGACATGGGCTTGGAAACCGGCCACTTAAAGAAAATCTGCAGAATGGTGATCTAGACTTTTTATCATCAAGGCTATGTAATTTAGACTAATAGTTAAGTGTCTCTATTATCTTTTTAAACTATACTTGAAGAAAGAAACTAAGAATGAGAAAAGGGACCAACTTGTCCTGTCCCTAGTGGTTTGAAACAACTAATAAGCTTTTACTTTTATTAACAGGGAGTGATGTGGACACCAGGACAAAGAAAGCTTCTGAACAGCAAAATGTTCAGAATTCGCTTTGTGAGTTATAATATAATTCTTAGTTTTCTACAATTTTTAAATTTTTCGATTTAGGCAGTTAAAAACATGGTGCATCTATTTTTTAATAAGCTCCAATAGATGTCATTCACCCTTAACCATAGGTTTGAAACGTATTCTTTTTGTTGTTGTTGAGGATTTTTGCATCTATATTCATCAGTGATACTGATCTGTAATTTTCTTTCTTTGTAGTACCTTTGGTTTTGGTATCAGGGTGATGGTGGCCTCATAGAATGAGTTTGGGAGTGTTCCTTCCTCAATTTTTTGGAAGAGTTGAAGAAGGATGGGTGTTAGCTCTTCTCTAAATGAATTCACCTGTGAAGCCATCTGGTCCTGGACTTTTGTTTGTTGGAAGACTTTTAATCAGTTTCAATTTCATTACTTGTGATTGGTCTGTTCATATTTTCTATTTCTTCCTGGTTCAGTCTTGGAAGCTTATACCTTTCTAAGAATTTGTCTATTTCTTCCAGGTTGTCCACTTTATTGACATAGAGTTGCCTGTAGTAGTCTCTTAGGATGCTTTGTATTTCTGTGGTGTCTGTTGTAACTTCTCCTTTTTCATTTCTAATTTTATTGATTTGAGTCCTCTCCCTCTTTTTCTTGATGAGTCTAGCTAATGGTTTATCAATTTTGTTTATCTTCTCAAAGAACCAGCTTTTAGTTTTATTGATCCTTGCTATTGTTTTCTTCATTTCTATTTCATTTGTTTCTGATCTGATCTTTATGATTTCTTTCCTTCTGCTAACTTTGGGTTTTGTTTGTTCTTCTTTCTCTAGTTCCTTTAGGTGTAGGGTTAGATTGTTTGAGATTTTTCTTGTTTCTTGAGGTAGGCTTGTATTGCTATAAACTTCCCTCTTAGAACAGCTTTTGCTGCATCCCGTAGGTTTTGGATCACTGTGTTTTCGTTGTCATTTGTCTCTAGGTATTTTCTGATTTCCTCTTTGATTCTTTAGTGATCTCTTGGTTATTTAGCAATGTATTGTTTAGCCTCCATGTGTTTGTGTTTTTTACGTTTTTTTTTTTTTCCCCTGTAGCTGATTTCAATTCTCATAGCGTTGTGGTCAAAAAAGATGCTTGATATGATTTCAATTTTCTTAAATTTACTGAGGCTTCATTTGTGACCCAAGATGTGATCTATCCTGGAGAATGTTCTGTGTGCCCTTGAGAAGAAAGTGTAATCTGCTGTTTTTGGATGGAATGTCCTATAAATACCAGTTAAATCTACCTCGTCTATTGTGTCATTTAAAGCTTGTGTTTCTTTATTTTCTGTTCGGATGATCTGTCCACTGGTGTAAGGGAGGTGTTAAAGTCCCCCTATTATTGTATTACTGTCAATTTCCTCTTTTAGAGCTGTTAGCAGTTGCCTTATGTATTGAGGTGCTCCTATGTTGTGTGCATATATATTTATAATTGTTATATCTTCTTCTTGGATTGATCCCTTGATCATCATGTAGTGTTCTTCTTTGTCTTTTGTAATAGTCTTTATTTTAAAGTCTATTTTGTCTGATATGAGAATTGCTACTCCAGCTTTCTTTTGATTTTTGTTTGCATGGAATATCTTTTTCCATCACCTCACTTTCAGTCTGTATGTGTCCCTAGGTCTGAAGAGTGGGTCTCTTGTAGACAGCATATATATGGGTCCTGTTTTTGTATCCATTCAGCAAGCCTGTGTCTTTTGGTGGGAGCACTTAATCCATTCACGTTTAAGGTAATTATCGATATGTCTGTCCCTATTACCATTTTCTTAACTGTTATGGGTTTGTTTTTGTAGGTCCTTTTCTTCTCTTGTGTTTCCCACTTAGAGAAGTTCCTTTAGCATTTGTTGTAGAGCTGGTTTGGTGGTGCTGAATCTCATAGCTTTTGCTTGTCTGTAAAGCTTTTGATTTCTCTGTTGAATCTGAATGAGATCCTTGCTGGGTAGAGTAATCTTGGTTGTAGGTTCTTCCCTTTCATCACTTTAAATATATCATGCCACTCCCTTCTGGCTTGTAGGGTTTCTGCTGAGAAATCAGCTGTTAACCTTATGGGAGTTCCCTTGTATGTTATTTGTCGTTTTTCCCTTGTTGCTTTCAATAATTTTCCTTTGTCTTTAATTTTTGTCAATTTGATTACTATGTGTCTCTGCATGTTTCTCCTTGGGTTTATCCTGCCTGGGACTCTGTGCACTTCCTGGACTTGGGTGGCTATTTCCTTTCCCATGTTAGGGAAGTTTTCGACTATAATCTTTTCAAACATTTTTTTGGGTCCTTTCTCTCTCTCTTCTCCTTCTGGGACCCCTATAATGCAAATGCTGTTGCGTTTAATGTTGTCACAGAGGTCTCTTAGGCTGTCTTCATTTCTTTTCATTCTTTTTTCTTTATTCTGTTCTGTGGCAGTGAATTCCACCATTCTGTCTTCCAGGTCACTTATCTGTTCTTCTGCCTCAGTTATTCTGCTATTGATTCCTTCTCGTGTATTTTTCATTTTAGTTATTGTATTGTTCATCTCTGTTTGTTCTTTAATTCTTCTAGGTCTTTGTTAAACATTTCTTGCATCTTCTCAATCTTTGCCTCCATTCTTTTTCTGAGGTCCTGGATCATCTTCACTGTCATCAACTGAATTCTTTTTCTGGAAGGTTGCCTATCTCCACTTCATTTAGTTGTTTTTCTGGGTTTTATCTTGTTCCTTCATCTGATACATAGCCCTCTGCCTTTTCATCTTGTCTACCTTTCTGTGAATGTGGTTTTTGTTCTACAGGCTGAAGGACTGTAGTTCTTCTTGCTTCTGCTGTCTGCCCTCTGGTGGATGAGGGTATCTAAGAGGCTTGTGCAAGTTTTTTGATGGGAGGGACTTGAAATGTATTCTTAATTAGTATTGAAAACAAGGTAAATACCTTTCAAATCCAGCTAAAATCAAGGTTCCTCTAATTCTAAATCAAGCTGAGATTTCATTTCATTGAGTTGAGTCCCATCCAATGTGAAAAGTTTCTGACTAAAAAGCAATTATGGGATTAGGAAAAGATAATCAGCACAATGGTATTTTGAAGTCATTCTGATTAATTAAGAACTTGTTCTACATGAGTGTCTTGGAAGAGGAGGGAAAATAAGCACAAACTCTGGTGCAGTGGAGACTGAGTTAGTCCAGGCAGAAACACTCAAGACTTAGATGAAGGTACTGACAGAAAGCAAAGAAGGAGCTGACAGAAGAGAGATTATGGAGGATGGGCACAGTCTGGTAGTGGCCTCCCTGTGTAGGAGGAAGGGCAGCCCGTCTCCTGCTGCAGGATAAGCCCAATGCTGACTTTACACAGTGGCAGGTAATGGGGAAGGGCAGGGGGAGATACAGTTATAAACAGCCTCTGCCTCCTTTATTTTAGGTAGTTACACTTTAGGATATAAACAGATCTAGAATATTCTGCTTCTTTGGGAAACTCAATTCATTAGGCTATAAGTGTCATCAAGGGTCACTGAGTTAATCATCCAGAAAATGAGGCCAGTCATGGAGCCAGACCTGTCATCCTGGGTATTACAGGCTGAATTGTGTCCCCACCCCACCCCCCCCCGATTCATAAGTTGAAGTCCTAACCCTCAGTATCTCAAAATGTGTCTATATTTGGAGACAGGGTCTCTACAGATGTAATTGAGTTAAAATGAGGTCATTAGAGTGGACCTTAATCCAACATGACTAGTTTCCTTATAGGAAGAGGAAATTTAGGCAGAGACATGCACAGAGAGAAGACAATGTGAAGATACAGGGAGTAGATGGCTATCTACAACCCAAGGAGAGAGACTGGGAACAGATCCTTCCCTCACGGCCCTCAGAAGAAACCAGCCCTGCCAATACCTTGATCTCAGACTAGCCTCCAAACTGTGGGACAGTCAACTTCTTTTGCTTAAGCCACCCAGTCAGTGGCGCTTTGTTACGGCGGCCCTAGCAAAGTAACATCCTGGGTTACCCCTGAAGAAGGCATGCAGCATGTCTGGGCTCTTCTGTACAGCAAGCTGAGAACCACAGGCTAGAAGTAAGAGGCATTTCTACAATGAATCCCAAACAGAAATAGAATTGCACATGGCCCCTGACATGAGTTCCTGTACACAGGTCTGCTGAGTGAAGGCAGGGTTCAGCACTCCACGCTTTTTAACAGGGCTGCGAGTTCAGAAGCTCTAGACTTCTGAAGGGATATGTTTACCCTAAGGGTACTCACATTGTAGGCCTACCACAAGGGCCAACAGTGACTTTAGACTGGTTTAGTCAAAATTATTGAATGCCCTACTTTATAGCTGAAAGGGGAAAATTTAGAAACATTTTTCTTTAGAAATGAAAACGAAGATGAAGTAATTTGTCTTAGATGACACAGCTGCTTAGTGGTGACTCGGCTTCCCAGGAAAGAGCATTTTCCATCCCACTCGAAAGCCACTCCCATAAACACGTGTAACAAAAACCAGAACAGCTCCACCCAGGAGGAAGTCTTAAATGCAGCCTGGCTGTGGCTGGTAGCCCCCAGAAGTCACCTGGGCAGTCTCTTCCAACTCAGAAAACCATCTTCTAGAGAATGCATGCTTATAAAAGCATGAGAGAGGCCTCATCACAAGAACAGGGATTGAGAATCCCAGTATCATTTCTAGATTTAAAAACTACCCAAATGTGTTCATGGGTGTGAGGAGAAAAGGCAGCCATCCCAGTATCATTTCTAGATTTAAAAACTACCCAAATGTGTTCATGGGTGTGAGGAGAAAAGGCAGCCATCCACGAGGCATGATTTGAGGGAAAAAACACTCCCCTCAAAATTATCTCCCACACCAAGCCTATCCCAGGGCTAAAATTCTCAGTTATGTTTACAGAAGATTCCTTTTAATTTATAAAAATATATATCTGTGTCTCTTGGAAGGAAAACACCCATTGATACCCATTATCATATCATATATGACTAGTGTATTTGATTTACTGGCCCAGCAAGGCTCTGAGGAAATGGTACTCAGGAGAGGTAGGAGATAATGGATGAGAGGAAGGGAAGAGGAGTTCAGGCCAGGCACATGGTGACCAAACCCATCCATGGGTCCTCGAGACTTCTGACAGGAATGGGGCAAGGAGAGAGAGGATAAAGACCAGACACAGGTTAGGAAAGGGCATGGTGTATTGGCCTAGAAGGGGATAAAGGGAGAGTGACATGTTGAGAAAGTGAAGTCTGTGGGACTGAGTTTACCTCTCCTGGACGGTTTTATCTAGAGCTGGTCCTGCTTTTAGCCACATCCACCAAATAGGCTGTTTGAGGAGTGGTTTCCCTTCAGTATTTATCACTTAGGGGAACACTACTGAGCCTGTGCACATCTGGTCACTGTCCAGGGTCCTGTAGAGTTCACAGAACCATTTCCTTGGAGTACTTAGGAGGTCTGCTTCCATGCGCCTACAACTGTGAAGCTAATATTCTCCTTCTGATAAAGTAAAGAGAATGGATAATATTTAAGGAAACTAAACAAATCTTACTACCAATTCTTCTGATGCCTCTACCTACAAGTGAAATGCTTTACTTAGTCATGGAATTTTACTCCACTAAGAAATCAAAATGTTGTATGCTTTTTTTTTAATTCCTCTTGAAATTTCCTATAAAGACAGGTATAAAAAATGCTTTATGAATCAACCTGACTTCCATCACAGGCCAGAGAGCGATGACTCAAGAGGGACTGTGTATTTCTTGGTTATCGGCTTTTTTTACAAAAGAAAATTGAGGTAAATGATACAAACCTCCTCTTCTTCCCAGTCTATCAAATCCCAGTCATAAGCAATTACTGCTCTCCGTCTTTTCCAAAACTCCAGGAAAACTGTCGCTGGAACAAGCAGAGAAAGGCAGACATTTTCAAATAAAACAATGCCTTTAACTGTGCCAATGGATAATGAGGCCATTGTAAAGAATGACAGTTTGTGTAAGCATTCTTGAATATCAGAATTTCTAGATAAACTTTATTTAACAAGGATCATTTTCTGAGAATTACTAAGTCTGTGTCAAACACAATGAAAACTTAGAGATTTAAATTAAGCTGATTTGCAAGTCATAGCAGAGCAGACTTACTAGAATGACGAAGCTCCTGAGATGTAAGAACACAGAAAACTAAGTTACCAACATCATTTGAAAAGTGAGGGGCAGAAAAGGAAAAGCAAAGCTTAGCAGTTCACATGTATTTGATTGCCAGTGATCTCTTGTCCCCCAAATTCTCCTCAGGATAAATATCTGTGTAGACTGTATCTTCCTATTTTACTGAAGGAAGCTGTTTTGTTGGAGGAAGCTGTCCTGTTGCTTCTCTTTTCTCCAAACCATCTCTTTATTGTCACATTGAAGGCAAAAGTGTGTAAATTCTGTTAAGAACCTTTCCCAACCTGTTGGCCTCCCTACCCAGGTAAAGCTGGGAGTGATCCTCATTTAGCCAAAGTAACTTTCTACTCAATTCAATTTAAAAATATCAACACAAATGAATTGTTGAGCATTATAAAATGATAGAGAGATCAAAAAATAATCAAGACACATTCCTGCTGCCTTGGAAGTCACAAGCCCAATGAGGGAACACATACACTCAGTTACTCACTCAGAGGATGACTGCAACTAAGGATATCACAGAGATACCCTAGGAGAGGTAATTGTTAACCATCTCTATTGGGCCTTGCTGTGTAGTCAGACTTCAAAAGGGAAAAATATGTCATATATTTGGAATCAGTTTCATGGGGTAAGGTAAAATCCAAATGTCCATTCCAAAGAGAGATAACTACTTCCTTCTTTTCTACTCCCCCTTGATCTCACACTACCTCCTTATTAGTGGTATTCGGACACAGAAGACATGTTTAAAAATAAGTAACTGGAAAGACAGTATAGGGTAATAGTTAAGAGCTCTCTGGCTTGTGACCTAGACATTCCTAGATTTGAAATCCAGTTCAGATACAAGCTGTGCTATCACTGGCAAACGAATTCACTTTTCTAATTCTCAATTTCCTGCTAAGCAAATGAGGGATGGCAATCTAATCCCTATCCGCGATGGCAAAATTCAAAATGCTCTAAAAATTGTAAGTTTCTTCCCCTAAGTTTGGCACAAATTCATCTTGTGGCAAGCTGTGACTTCGACTGAGGTGAGGCTACTCAAAGTCTTCATTTATCCCTCTTAGTGAGAGTACACATACGTTGAAAGCAGCCATATTGATGTATTTGAATATGGGGTACTTCCCAGACCTCATGGGGTATTATAGAATATATGATATATGTACCACAGTGCCTCTCTAAAATCTGAAAAATTCAGAGTATAGTCGTTAAGAAAGTCACGCCTAAAATAATCAAGTGCTTAATTCTAGAAGTGGGAAATGGAAACAAACATATGTCTTTGGAGGTTAATAAAAGTGCCGAACTATTTACAACAGCCAAGATATGGAAGCAATCTAAATGTCCATTGACAGAGGAGTAAAGATATATATACACATATATATGCAATGGAATATTGTATATACATTACAATATATATACATTGTATATATATATATATACAATGGAATATTAGCCATAAAAAAGAATGAAATAATGCCATCTGCAGCAACATGAATGGACCTAGAGATTGTCATACTGAGTGAAGTAAGTCAGACAGAGAAAAGACAAGTATCATGATATCACTTATATATGGAATCTTAAAAAAATGTACAAATGAACTTATTTACAAAACCGAAACAGAGTCACAGCTGTAGAAAACAAACTTATGGTTACCAGGGGGAAAGGGGGGAGGGATAAATTGGGAGATTGGGATTGACATATACACACTACTATAAATAAAACAGGTAAGTAATAAGGACCTACTGTATAGCACAGGGAAATTTACTCAATACTATGTAATGACCTATATGGGAAAAGAATCTAAAAAAGAATAGATATATGTACATGTATAACTGATTCACTTTGCTGTACACCTGAAACTAACACAACATTGTAAATCAACTATACTCCAATTAAAAATGAAGAAAGAAAAGTGCCAAAAACTGAGCAGCTATTTTCCACTGGAATCCTTGCCAGGGGTCTTACTGCGTCAGGGGTTCCCAAGACCACCTCCAGTCTCGATGATTCACTAGGAGGACTCATAGGACTCAGCATATAGTGGTACATATGGCTAAGATTTACTACAGTGAAAGGATATAAAGCAAAATCAGCAGAGGGAAAAGGCACATGGGGTGAAGTCTGGTGGAAACCAGGTGCAAGCTTCCAAGAGTCCCCTCCCAGTGGAGTCACACAGCATGTACTTAATTCCCCAGTAATGAGTTGTGACAACACGTGAAATGTCGTCTAACAGGGAAGTTCATTAGAAACTCAGTGCCCAGGGTTTTTATCAGGGGCTGGTCACATAGACATCCTTTGCCTAGCACGTTCCAAAATTCCCAAGCCTCACAAAAAATCAGGAGGTATTCAGCACAAACCATAATGTTTGAGCAAACCGTTTCAAATGTAAAACAAGTTACTCTTAGCAGTTAGGGTGGTAGAAACTCTCCTGAAATTTAAGTTCCCAGATGCCAGCCACGGGCCAGCCCTGTAAAGCAGGACTCTCTAAGGCAGGCCTGCTGTGTTAACTTCTTTCTGCACATTTGCCCTCTGCCTCACCAAATTATCTTTTCCTTGCATGGGGTCCCTGAAACATCTCCTTGACTAGGTCCTCTGGCCCTTCAAACAAATGCCACTTTATTGATTTTCTCTCTTTGGTCTCCAGAGTCCCTCCTAGCCTTGAAGAGACAAGGCAGCCAAGCCTTGAATGTGTGGCTTTTCTCCGTAAGAAGAAAAGCTTTGGACCCCTTGGCCTCAGAAAGGCTTGCTCAGGGGTCATGCTGGGATGGCCTAAGGCCACACGATACACATCCAGTCTGTCTTATAGGCCGTTGCTGCTCCCAACAAGCCCCATTGACCCATCTGTGGTTCTCGTCTGTAGGAACTGATTTCCAAGACAAGCCAGTGGCTGTAAGAATTATTCCACCAGCTTCCTTCTCCCCAGCATGTGCTGAACCCTGCCTCAAGGAGAAAGAAACTCGAAGCAGTAATTCCCTTCTTCAGCCAATAATCCTCTCCTCTCTTCCATTCTAGAACTTGGGAAGATGAGAAGAAGAAATGAATTGTTTGTGCAGCTGCCATTTTCTTGTGTCTTTGTGTGAAAATCCCCATTCATCTGAGGAGGAATATGCTTCTATCTCTATGTATGAACTAGGATGTAATCAAACCAATATAGGTGATCTCTTCTCAAGGCAAAGCTCCAATCCCCCACCCTCATAACTCCATGATTTAAGTCCTTTGTCTAAATACACAGCTCTGGGAGCCCATGTGCTTTGGGTGTGGTAAGTTATATGCTGCCTTATGTCATGAGCTCACACTTTCCTCTTTGTCTCCTTTGAAGCTGGCTTATGCTACACGTATATGTATCCATCTATATATATATCTTTATATTATATCTTTCTTTTATACTGCCCAGTACTATGATTAAGTTTGATTAAAAGTATATTTCTTTTGGAACTTCCCTGGCGGTCCAGTGGTTAAGACTTTGCCTTTCCAATGCAGGGGGTGTGGATTCGATCCCTGGTCGGGGAGCTGAGATCCCACATGCCCCAGGGCCAAAAAACCAAAACATAAAACAGAAGCAACGTTGTGACAAATTCAATAAAGACTTTAAAACTGGTCCACATGAAAAAAATCTTTAAACAAAATTTTTAAAAAGTATATTTCTTTTATATATTGATTCTCAAAAGACTGAACATTCTGACGTGTTTTGTCAACATTTTCTAATATATGCAATTATTTCCACAAGAATTTGGCCCCCAAATTTCCTTTTTCTCAGCTACGTACTGCTAGCATTTTGAACTTCTTAGATTCCAATCTATCTTTCCATGTTGCTAATGATTTTTCTAAACCCCAATCTAACCAGGTCTCCGAGCAGGGGCTCGTCAATAAAGTCACATCACCCATAAAATAAAGCCCTGTTACCAGCCCAGGATACAAGGATCCTAAGGACGCTGCTTGTGCCCAACTCTCCACCCTGTACTTCTACCTGATCTACCCACAAACAAGTTCACCTGAGATGTTAATGCCAATCTCAAACAACAATCCTCTCACAACAATAGTTGACACATTATGAAATTCTGAGACTTCTGTCAGTGCAGACAGGGTCAGGATTAGTGTTCAGGTAGGTTAGTGTTCAAATAGCAAGACACTCTTGGCTCCGAATCACACACAATTGAGAAGTTTGTCACATGCAGCCCATAAGGGACACAAAAGGAAGACATGACATAGAGTGTTCGGCAGGCCACACTCTATTATCATTTTCTTAAATAGAATAATTATGGTTTGTGGCTGACTCCTATGCATGTACTGAAACCATTTATCATCTTTCTAAGCATAGTGCGATTATATCTCCCAGGTTTAACTGCAGTTATATGAGCTAAATTTTGGCCAATGAAAAGTAAGTAGAAGTGATGTGCGTCACTTTTGGGCTGAGGAATTAAGAAGTAGGTGTATCCTCCCTATGCTTCTTTTCTCCTTTTGCTCGATGAATGGAGAGAACTCTGAGGATCTAGAAGAGGATGGAGCCATGAGATGGAAGGAATTTGAGTACTTGGATGACCAGGTAGAAGGCTATCTGACAACCAGGAACACCTGATTGGGTTTTAAGTTTGTGGGTTCTACTGAGCATCAAGGTTTTGCAGTTAGTATATTACGGCAGCTAACTTTACTGCTCCTAACTGATATAGGGATTTTTCTGGAAAGTATAGCCATGATTAACATTCTGCAAATAGTTAGAAAAAAACCCATTGAATAACTATCTTTCAT